CATTCAAGTCTTTCACTTGCTTGTTTAGAGTTACCCCAAAATACTTTATATTTTTGAGGCTATTGTGAAATGTGTTGTTTCCTTGATTTCTTTCTCAGTCCATTTGTCATTTTTGCATAGTAGAGCTTCTGTTTGTGTGTTGATTTTGTATCCTGCTACTTTGCTGAAAGTGGTTATCAGCTGTAGGAATTACCTGGAGGGATTTTTAGGGTCACTGTACCTTATCATATCACCTGTAAATAAAGATACTTTGACTTCTTCCTTTTCCTATTTATATCACGTTTACCTCCTTCACTTGTCTTATTGTTCAAATTAAGACTTCAAGTACTATATTGAATAGGTATGGAGAGAGTGGATAACCTTGTCTTGTTCCTGGTGTTAGTGGAAATGCTTTGAGTTTGTCTCCATTTAAGTTGGCATTGGTTGTCAGCTTGCTGTAAAGTACCTTTATTGTGTTGAGGTATGTCCCTTGTATCCCTAATCTCTCCAGGACTTTATCATGAAGGGGTGTTGGATTTTGTCAAAGGTCTTTTCTGCATCAAATGAGATGATCATGTTATGAGAGACTTTATCATTTATTATAGAAGTAGCAATTAATATTCTAGATATCAACCCACCAGAATTAACTTCTGATGAGAAAACTTGCCTTGCAAAGTCTGCAAGAAATACAGACTCCAGAATATCTGTTGCTATGAATTTGGCTGCATAATCTTGATATACAGAACATGTACTGGGTACTTTGTATTCTCAAATAGGCCCAGAAGAAGGGGTTTTTCACTGGGGTGTCCGTGGTAGAGACACCCCATTGCTTACCCTGAGGCTGGAAGCAGCAGCCTCTGGATCTCATACTACATAGCCTTTGGTTTTCCCTTTGATATAGAATTGAGAAGTACCTTTTGATCAGTTAACAGAACGTTTTACAAGTCACATACCCTGAGACTCAAGTTTTCCTGGACTTGCTTTTGTCAGTCCCTTGTCTGTCTTCCTGGTTCTGAGAGATATGCATGCCTGGTATCCTTGCTATTGTCAGAGACTTGCTAAGTGTATCTGTGGGTATGTAAACTGGAAATATTGTAGGATCTAGGGGAATTTTTAAGAAGAACACCTACAGAAAACTTTAAGAGAGCTTTTAAGGAAAGAACTTTTGAGGAGAAAACTTTTAGAGAGAAACTTTTAAAGAGAACTTTAGGGAAAAACTCTTTTTGAAGAACAAGGAGCCTTGAGAAGAATATATGTATGAACTGATTCATTAGCCATTTTTAGTCAGCCCAACCCACCTGTTGTAAGCCTCCTGCCTGAACCTTCATTAATCATGTGAATTTGCCATTCAGTCTGGTTATATGGTGAATTATATTTATTGATTTACATATATTGAACCATGCTTTTGTGGAATAATGTCTACTTGATCGTGGTGGGTGATCTTTTTGATGTGTTCTTGGATTCAGTCTAGAAATATTTTATTGAGAATTTTTGCATCTATGTTCATAAGAGAAATTAGTTTGCAATCTCTTACTTTACTGTGTATTTATGTGGTTTAGGAATCAGGGTAAATACCTTGTAAAACGAATTGGGAAATATTCTTTCTGTTACTATTTTGTGGGATCATTTGAGGAATATTGGGGATAAGCCTTTTTTAAAGCCTGGTAGAATTCTGGCCTTGGTCTTTTTTTTTTTTACTGGAAGATTTAATTACTGCTTCTATTTTACTAAGGACTATAGGTCTGTTTAAATTACTTATTTGATCTTGATTTAACTTTGGTAGCTGGTCTATATTAAGAAATTATCCACTTCCTTTAGATTTTCCAACTGGTGGAGTACAGGTTTTTAAAGTATTTCCTTATGATTTTCTGGATTTTTCCATGTCTGTTTTTATGTCTCCCCTTTGTTTTGTTCATTTGGATCTTCTCTCTCCATCTTTTAAATTGGCTAAGATTTGTCAATATTATTGATTTTTTCAAAGAACCAACTCTTTGTTTCATTTATTCTTTGTATTTTTTGTTTGTTTCTATGCTATTGATTTTAACCCAGTGTTAGATTACTTCTTGCCATCTATTTTTTTCTTAGGCATTATTACTTCATTTTTTTGTTCTAGAGATTTCAGGTGTGCTGTTAAGTTACTAATATGAGATCTCTTCATTTTTTAATGTAGGCATTTAGTGTTATATGAACTTGAATCTTAGAACTGCTTTCATTATGTACCATAAGTTTGGGTACATTGATTTTCATTTTCATTAAATTTTAGAAAGTTTTTTATTTCTTTTCTAATTTCTGTCCTGATCCATTTTTCATTCAGTAGTAGGTTGTTCAGTTTCCATGAGCTTATAGGCTTTCTGTTGTTTTTGTTATTGTTGAACTCCAGCTTTAATCTGAGGTGGTCTGATAGGATGCAGAGTGTTATTTCAATTTTCTTATGTCATTTGAGAATTGCTTTGTGGTCAAGTATGTGGTCAGTTTTGGAGAATATTCCATGAGATGCTGAGGACATATATTCTTTTGTATTTGGGTAAAATGTTCTGTAAATATTTGTTAGATCTATTTGGTTTATGACATCAGTTAGCTCCAGCATTTCTCTGTTAATTTTTGGTCTGGATAACCTGTCTATTGCTGAGAGTGGGGTATTGAAGTCTCCTATTATCAGTGTGTGTGATCAATATGTGATTTAAGCCCTGGTAATATTTCTTATATGAACTTGAGTGTTTGGTGCATAGATGTTAAGAATTGTAACATCATCTTGTTAGATTTTTCTCTTTGATTATTATGTAGTGTTCATCCCTATTTCGTCTGATGAGGTGCTTTTTTTTTTGAAGTTTCTTTTGCCAGATATTAAAATGACTATACAAGTTGGTTTCTTAGGTCTGTTAGCTTTGAATATATTTTTCTATCCTTTTACCCTGATGTATGTCTGTGTTTCTTTGGTGTAGACAAAGGTTTTCAAATCCATTCGGTTAGTCTATATCTTTTTATTAGGGAATAAAGGCTACAATTCACAGCCTCAGACAGGCTAGATAACAAAGAGGGCCCATAGAAGAATGCATGGGTTTCCCTGGGAAGGGGAAATAAGGAAGATCTCCTGGGTAGACTGGAGGCAGGGGTGGGAGTTATGGGGGCATAGTAACTTGAGGGAGCAGGTTGCATAGGCTTGGAGCAGGAGGCAGGTTGGAGGCAGGACACAGGGGGAGAGTAATGAAACAGATGTCTTGGTGGGGGGCATTTGGGGTTAGGGAGAAACTTGATGCCAGGGAAACTCCCCAGGAACCCACAAGGATGACCCCAGCTAAGACTCCTAGCAATCGTAGAAAGATGACCTGAACTGGCATCTACTGTAATCAGATGGTGACTTACCCTAATTGTCATCAGAGAGCCTTCATGCAGTAACTGATGGAAACAGATGCAGAGATCCACAGCCATGCACTGGGCCAAGCTCTAGGAATCCTCCTGAAGAAAGGGAGGAGGCTTATATGAGCCAGGGGGGTCAAGGTCATGACTAAGGAACCTACAGAGACAGCTGACCTGAGCTCATGGGAGCACATGGACTATGTACCAACAGTTAGAGGAACCTGCATGGGACCTACCTAGGCCTGCTGCATGTGTGTGACAGTTGTGTAGCTTAGTCTGTTTGCAGGTCTCAAAGCAGTGAGATCAGAACCTGTTCCCCATGCTGGATTACCTTGTCCAGACTTGATGCAGAGGAAGGAGCTCAGTCCTACCTCAATTTGGTTTTTGGAGATGAGGAAGGAGGGGTGGATGGAGAGGAGAATGGAAGGAGTGGAAGGACAGGAAACTGTGGTTGCCATGTAAAATAAATGAAAAAATCTTAATTAAATAAAATACTTTTTAAAAATAAAAATTGGACTGTAGTCAAGCCTATAATTAGTGATTGATGTAGAGGGGCCCAGCCCATTATGGGTAGGGACACCCCTGGGTTTGTGATCCTGTATTCCTCAGGAAAATGGGAATCAGTCTAACACAAGACCCAGTAATTCAACTCTTAGGCATATACCCAAAAGATGCACATTCATACAACAAGGATGTCTGTTCCACCATGTTTATAACAGCATTATTTGTAATAGCCAGAACCTGGAAGCAACCTAGATACCCCTCAAGTGAATAGTGGACAGAGAATATGTAGTACATTTATACAATGGAGTACTATTCAGCGGGAAAAAATAATGGAATCTTGAAATTTGAAGGCAAATGAATGGCACTAGAAGAAATCATCCTGTGTGAGGTAACTCAGTCACAAAAAGACAAACATAGTATGTATTCACTCATATATGGATTTTAGACTTGGATCAGGGGAGTGGCAGCCTACAATCCCAACTGCCAGAGAGTCTGGGAAACAGAACCTTCATCCAGTGACTGATGGAAGCAGAGGCAGACACCCACAGCTAAACACTGAACTGAACTCCTGGAACCCAGTGACAGAGAGGGATGACTGATGAGCAAAGGGGTCAAGACTAGGCTGGTTTAACCCACAGAAACAGCTGACCTGAACAAGGGGGAGTCCTTGGATCTCAGACTGATGGCTGAGAAGCCAGAATGTGGGTGTCAGTGAGGAGGCCTAGGCAATCTATGGGGCCTTGGGTAGTAGATCAGTATTTATCCCTGGCATACAAATGGACTTTGGATGTCCATCACACAATGAGGGATGCTCTCTCAGCCTGAACTCTTGGAGGAGGGCCTAGGCCCTGCCCTGAACGAAATGACAGACTCTGGAGATCCCCCATGGAGGGACTCACCCTCCCTGGGGAATGGAGTTGGGATTGGGTGGGGGACTGGGGATCCTGGTGGGAGGGGGCAGGGAGAGGAGGGGAGAGAGAGGGAGCTGGGATTGACATGTGAAGCAAGCTTGTTTTTAATTTAAATTTTAAAAATCTTTAAAAAAAGTTAATAAACACCATCCCTCCATGGCCCCTGCCCTTAGGTTCCTGCTCTGCTTGAGTTCCTGTCCTGACTTCCTTCAAGGATGAACAGTGCTGTGGAAGGATAATAAACCCTTTCCTCCCCAGGTCATGGTGTTTCATCGAGGCAATAGTAACCCTAACTAAGACAGCACTTTAGGATGGTATGTTTAATAATTAGAGTTTATTAGAATTCCTAAGGTGATAATGACCTATTCTTGGTAACAAAAACTAACTTAAAAAAACTTTTTAAAAGCCAGGTGCGCTGTCACATACCTGTAATCCCAGCACTGTTTGAGATCAGCCTGGTCTACAGAGTGAGAGCCAGGGCAGCACAGAGAAAAACAAACAAACAGACAAAAGTGTGTCTAATCCAGATAATCACTTCAGTTGTTTGATAATTCTGTTAAACTTTAGCCACTTGGGGAACCTGAGCCATATCTAAGCCAGTTTTATTTAAAACTCCTTGGGTTGCTTTGCTTAGACTTTATCTAAATGCTATACAGAGTTTAAAGCATAAGACCAATAAAGCTGTCCTTCTGGGTGTTCAGCAAATCTTGAAATCCTACACAAAAAGGGATAAAAGGCTCAAAGAGGACACCCAATATTTTGGCCCTTGAGATCCATGGTGAACCAGAACTCAGGGGACAACGAGACCTCTCTGATAAGTTGCCCGTCCTTTTGATCAGAGAAACCATTGGGCCTACAGAGATTAAATTCTAGCCAAGTGCATCCTACAATAAAGGAAGTCACTTGAGTCCTGGGGTTATATATGGTACAATATAGAAGTTATAATTATATGGGGTCCACACCAGTCTACCTCACGTGTATGTGACGGATGTGCAACTTACCATTGAAAAGGAGGTTATGAAAACTAAAATATATTCAGATGGCAATGGACTACATCTTCAGATAGACAATGATGCCCCCCCCCCAGCTGCTACTGCTGATAATGTGGGTAAAATCATCTGTCCCCTGATACGTGCAAAAGGGAAACATTGCTAGTGCTGGGGCAACCACAGAGCAGATGGAGAAACAGAACTAGAAACTTCCCTAAAATTGGGGGAGGGGAGAACTGGCATTTGTGACAAGCCACATTAATTTACAGCCTGTTAAGTAAATGGGACCCCAATTGCAACAGGAATGGCTGTTTAAGACTGAAAATGGGGGCTATTGAACATTTAAATATGAAAAGATAGCCATCCTGAGGCCATTGTCCCTGCTTTTGTTAAATAGCTCCGTGAGAGAACTCATGTGAGCCAGGCAGCTCTAGAAACCATATTAGACCGACACTTTTATGTTTCCTGGCTTGCCAGAATATTCGATGAACCTGTGAACAATGAGACCCTGTTCCCAAAATAACTCTTGACAGTGACTTCCCAAAATACAGGATTTTAGAAAAGTCCAATTTAAAAAAAAATTGTTGTTGTCTTTACAGAACTTCCCCAAATCAGGAGTTACAAATACTTGCTTGTCTTTGTACTTTCTTGGGTTGGATAAAAGTCTTTTCTATGCAGTAGCCTAACTTCTAAAAGAAAGTGCCCCTGGGCCTGATATTCCTATTATTGTAGGGTCAGACAATAGGCCAGGATTTAAGGCAAACTCTACAATACCTTGTTATATAAAGAACATAATGCTAATAGAGTTCACTTTGGTTTTACTTTTGCAAAGTATGCTGATAAAAATTAGATATGGAGATTTACTACTTCAATAATATGGATCAAATGTAAAATACATGACACTTGCATGATATTCCCCAGGCTAAAATAGTACTCCTTCTTTGGATGGGACACAGACCCCACTGGAATAATTGCAAGTTAGGTGCTGCATGTTACAGAATAAGAACACTTGGGAAAACAGCTCTCACCAGAGCCTGTTGCTCCTGTTCCCAAGTGTGCAGGCAGGGCCACCAAACCCCCTCCTTACTGACAGAGGTGAGCTACTCCTCAAGTTTCACACAACAGGAGATGGATTCTTTTGCCTAATGGGGCATTTTGGAACCTGGACCACACTATGAACATCTCAAACAAGGGAGGGGCAGATGGCAAGTACTCTGCACTCATCCCACAAGTTGAAATATGATGGCGCTATGGACAAGGGACTTTTTACCCAAGCCTACCACCAGTGGCTGGGACCTGAACACTGGCTCATCAGCCATACCATTTACCCTGGTCTTCCATTCTCCTCCTCTAATCCCAGCGTTAAGAGGACAACACCCAAGTCCTTTGATATCTACATTGTTCTCCAAAGTTGTACCAGGCTTTACAGCTGCAGCATTTTAAACACATTTTCTGACAGCACAATTACAAAACTAACCCAGCCACATAAGAAGGTAAGTAAAGTCAAGCTTTAACTCTCAGAATACAGTAGAGTCCCTGGCATTGCACATAAAACCCTGCTGGAAATGAGTGCTTGTTTTTAAATCTTTCCCTATTATAATAAATCTGCTGGAGATGATTTCCTGGCCTCAGCACAATAGAATGAAGCCAGCTTTTTACAACTGGGAATGTTCCTGACCTGTCAACACTATGTAAACTGACCATCCGGAGAGGCCATGCTCTGATGCCAGAAGAGTCACTGAGTGTGAGGATTTGACTACCTACAGAAACAAGTAAATTATTTTTTATGTCTTTATATATTGCACTCCTTGACATTATCTGCATTTGTTTTAACCCCTGCTGTAGGCCCGATTGCCACAACCCCAGCAAGCAGAAAACATGACTAAAAGCTTCTGTTGGTTCCTAGATGAGTGATAGTTGGGAAAAATTTTATTTTGTCTCTGTTTTGTTTCTAATACTTTTTTAAAATATGTAGATTATATATAAATACAAGTATTTATATATATAAAATATATAAAGACTTTTAAAATATATATATGTTTAAAAGCTTTTGTTAGCATTCTTGTCTTTTTCACTGTTAATGATTGAGCTCCCTAAGCCAGTCACCATGTCTTTTGAAATATGTAAAACAGAATCTGACAAACTATGTGCTAACCTTGCCTTAGAACAAGGATATATCTAAACACACATGCACACACACACATACACATGTATACACACACGCACACACAGACACATATACACACACGCACACACACACATACACACACACACACATACACACACACACACATACACACACACACACACACACACACACACACACTAAGGAATCCTGTCCTCTAATACTTGGAGACTCTTGCAGATAAGTGGCAGCCCCTGTCCAGGTATGTTGATACTGTTATATTCTCAAGGTATCTGGATTAGATGGTGCTATTTTGACCTTGTGATAGCTAGTCCTATGTCAACTTGATATAAGTTAGAGTCATCTGCAGCTGTGAAAATGCCTCCATAAGATAGGGCTGTAGGCAAGCCTGAAAGACATTTCTTAACTAAAGGTTGATGTAGGAGGGCCCAGCCCATTGTGGGTGGAGCTACCCCTGGGGTGGCGGTCCTGGGTCCTATAAGAAAGCAGGCTGAGCAAACTACAGGGAGCAGGCCAGTAAGCAGCACTCCTCTATGACCTCTGCATCAGTTCCTGACTTTCCTCAGTGACACAGTGTAACCTGAGAACTGAGAATTGAAATAAACCCTCTTGGTCATGGTGTTCATTCTCAGTAACAGAAGCCCTGGTTAAGATAGACTCTAAAAGGGATTTGAGCATCAAAATGGAGAAGTTTCTAAGAAGCTGATGGAAAAACGTGCAACAAGCTGGATGGTGCCCTTGTGGTCTATCGCTCTGTCTGGCCCGTAGCCAAGTTACTCACCTCTCCCCTCGGTGCTATAAATGATTTGTGGTTAATTCTTCTGCTTGAGGAAAATGTCTGCTTATGGAGGAATTTAGCAAACTCCGCTAAACAAGCTTAATATAGCCAATCAAAATATGTCACTCTGGGTTGCTATGTGGGGGTGAGGAAGCAGGCAAGGGACAGAAGCGGCATAAAACGCTCTATCTAACTAAACCGAAGCTCGGTTTGGGGACTGATGTTGCCTAGGCCCTGTTATATTCACGCAATAAAGCTGCTTCCTAACTTTTAATCTTGTGTCCCTTCCCTTGTCATTTCCTGCAGCACCATTGTCCCAGGAGAAGTCCCAGGACATCTTGAAAGCTGAAAGACTCTACAGACTGCACCATTCAAAACAGAATGGAGGCCTGGGGAGTCAGCCCAAACCTCGGGAGAGGAGCACAAGAAAAAGGAGGGGGTGAGAACCAGTCCTAATCCAGACAGGGTCATCAGCATAGCTGGTCACTGTGAATCTCTACACATAGCTTTACAATAACCTCTATGACCAAAATCATCTGGGAGGTGTCTATCCTTTATCCCCAAATGGGGTTGATTCAGCTCTCGCCTCAAATAGGGTAACTAGTATTCTAGAACTAGAAGTGGCGAATGAAAGGAACATAGAATCCATCCCTGTCTGCTCTCCCATCTCCTACTCTAATATTAGTTCTCCAGCATTTTCTTGGCCATCAGGTTCTATTGGTTTTACCTTCTCAGTATAGACACTAACTCCTTCTTACCATGTTCTGAGCTGCCCAGACATCAGCTGGGATGACTCAATAGCACCTCCTGTTTGGTGTACTCTGCTGCTAATAGGCATATTTGTGTGAAGTTACCTTAGAACACTGAAAACTTTTCATACCAAATTATCTCTTTCACTCATCATTAAGAATTGGACCCAAATAGTCTAAGAGTGCTAGGCATTAGGGTTATTAAACGTTCCCTCAAATGGTCTTGGCACTTACTAGAATTGACCCTCTACTTTGTCAGCACTGGTGCAACCCTGATTCTTTGCCTCCCTATAGCCCTCCTATCAATGAGTCTAACTTTCATATAAAACCAGCTAAGAACTGTCTTGGGGTTGTGCCACAAATAATCCTTAATGAGTGGGAGAGGTATGTCTTCCAGAATCCAACAAGGCTCGGTCACTGTGAAGACTCCTCATGGATAACACTTACCTTATGCAACACAGATCCATTATTGCTTGTCGGAAGATATGCTGCAGCACCCAGTAGGCAGCCACAGCCTTGCTTCAGACCAGGAATTTTTGAACAAAAAAGAGCCATAGTCTTCCAATCACTTTCAGAGAACAGCAAAAAGCTACATTCAAAGAACCCTGATGATAATGAATATGCTAATATGATTTTTACCAGGTCTCTACACACTTTCAAAGAAATACTTTGACCTTCCACATAGATTCAAAGCTTCCATTGAAGTCCGAAGGGGGTTTGGGCTTAAATAACATGAAAGTTTTTACATAAATGGATACAACTAAGGAGTTATGAATTAAAAGTGAATTTCACATTGTCCCCAAAAGCTCTGACCTTGAATGAGACACATAGGTCCTAATTGGTTGCCAGTGGACCTTCTGGCCAGACAGCTGTTACCTTTAGGAAGAATGAGCCAGGAAGCATTAACTGGAGTCCTTTCTGCATGACAAGTGAGCTCTGGAAACGTGGATTCAAATTCCAGCTCTGCAACTCATTAGCCGCAGGCTGAGCTGATTGCACTCAACTTGCTCAAGTGTAAAAGGCTTAGTGATTCCTTGCTGGTAGTCTGTATTCCAGAGGGGCTAGGCATCTACCCAATCACAGCACATCCAAGGCATGGAGATCCCACTACCATACCACCCCCAGCCTCCCATATTCTCCCTTCTTCCAACACATAGAGAGGAGGTACCCCGGATTCAGCTGTCAACAAGCCAGATGAATGGGAGCTGCCATATCAATGAGAGGAACTGGAGCTAAACCAGGAGCAACCAACAATCTCTGAGAGGTGCAAGTTGCGGAGGAGAATGAAAAGAGCAAAGTCTTAACCACATGCAGACCTGCATTCCAATCCCATCTCATGGTTTCCTGGCTGTAACTCTTAGAAGAGGCTTTTGATGGCATTATTCTCATTGAAAGACCCCAAGCGGGGGACTTTCACGGGAGGGAGACCCAAACCCAAGGATCAACGAAACCACGAGCTTGGATGCAACAGCAAGAGGCTTTATTGATAATACACGGGTACCCGGGGCATCTCAGTCTCGGGAACTGAGAGCCCCGAGCTGGGGACTCAGGGGTCCTTTTATAGCAAAAAGCGGAGTACAGAAGCAAGAAGCCTAGTTACAGGACCTTGATTGGACAATGAGGCCGGGGCTCACAGAATGAGGGCTATTGAGGTTTCTCTCAGAACTCAAGTCTCGGCCTTGGCCCTATCTGAGGAACAATAGGTCTCTGTGCCTGCCCAATCTTGCTGGGCTGGCTATGCGGACGCTATGCAGATAGCAGACACCTGTGTCCTGCCTGGACAGAGATAGTAGTGACTATTCAGCTGTAAAGACCTTGAGCTGAGCTTCTTTCTGATCAAAAAAATGACTATTCGGCCGAGCTGTGGGGGAAAGGAATTTTCCATAGGCCTCAGCCACCTGTGCTGGGCCGGGGTCTTTCATCATATGTTCAAAAAGACCCACATTGGTCATTCTTCCACTCACTGAACAAATATTTAGGAAACTGTAGCCCGTGTCTGAATGCACTGCTCTGAATGCTACAAAGCCCACAATGAACAGAACAGACAAAATTCTTGCCCTTGGAAGCTTAAATTGTAGGGAAGAGAAATAGACACTCAACAGTACAATCTTCCCTTGGTAACCATGGAGGACTGGCTCTAGGATTCTTAATATAGAAATCCTTCAGTGAGTAAGTCCCTTATGTAAAATGGCCTGTGTGTGTATAACCTACTCTCCAATGTACTTTAAGTCATCTGTAGATTAATTATACTGATTAATCATAATACCTAATAGCAATAAGTAGTTGCTACACTGTTTAGGGACTAATGACAAGAAAAATATAAGGCTTCTGGGAGGCCTGCTCCTTTCTGAATGGAGTGGAGGAGGACTTGACTGGGGGAGTGGGGGTCGGGGTGGATGGTGGGTGGGAGGTTAGAGGAAGTGGGGAAATGGGAAGAGTGGAAGAGAAACTGATGTCAGTATGTAATACAAATGGAAAATGTTATTTAAATGAAAACAAAACAAAAAAGAAAAATATAAGGCTTAATTTTGTTCTATTGTTGCTCCTATTGTTGTTGTCTTGAGACAGGGTTTCTCTGTGTAACAGTCTGGCTGTTCTGGAACTCACTTGTAGACCAAGCTGATCTCAAACTCACAGAGATCGACCTGCTTCTGCCTCTGGAGTGCTAAGATTAAAGGTATGTGACATCATCGCCTGCTGCTTTGTGGAACTGGGCCTGACTTCAGAAAGGATCAGAAACTCAAGACCACACACCTGAAACAGCTGTTACTTGTTTGGCTCTGTGCAAGTGCCCAACAGAGAATGGCTTTTATTTGTGGCATTTTTCATTGTTTTTTTTTTTTGTGTGTGTGTTCTTGTGGGCTCTGTGAATTGATCACTTTCCTTTTCTTCTTTCTTCTTTTCTGAGTGACAACAAGCAAGGATAATCCCCAGGTTCCCAGCCAGTAGGACTCTCTGCTTCCAGTCCCAGACAAAGCCAACAGGCATGTCTAATGTATGTGGTGGTACAGTCATGGAAAGGGTGTGTAATGTGTGAGTGTTGTTGAAGGATGATCATAGCATCTTGCATTTCGATCCCCCTCTACAGCCTCACAAATTAGATGCCTTGGAAAAGCTGTACCTTCATCTTGGATGGAAGATACCATCTGCTTAGCAGATGTATCCTTTTTAAGAGCTGGTGTCTAATTAAATTACCTGGATCTGGTATGGGCAGGCAGAGCTGAATGGAAAGGCACAGTCCAAATCATACTCTTCCAAATTGAACCACCCTCCTCTTGCCCAGGATCCTTCCACATACCCATTGAGTCAGCCAACCTGGCCCCTAACAAGCCATACTTCTCAAAGTACATGTCCTTCCAAAACCCAGATCAAATAGCAACAGCTCCTCCATGTGGCCTTTTCCAACCTCTAGGAAACACAAGAATTACCTCCCTTAAGATCTTGCTTTACAATACACTTTACACATTACTTGACTGAAGCATCCATTTCATTCCAGTTTCGTAAAGCCTACTGTTTCATGAGATCCTTGTGACTGGAAATCATTGGTTAACTTAGTCTTTAAAAAGTAATATTTTTATTAATTCTTTAAGAATCTCAATGTATTTTGATCATATTTATCCCTCTTTCCCAGATCCTCCCTAACTCCCTACCCACCTGACTTTATATTCACCCTCAACCCCCATTAAGTCCAGTTTGTGCTGACCAGCTGCACCTGGACACAATATGGTTGATACACCAGGTGTCATAGACCAGGTGTCACATTATTAAAGAAAACTGACTTTCCCTCTCCCAAAAGCAATCACATGCAAGTAGCTCCTCAGCTAGGGCTGTGACTTTGTGCCCACCTACCCTCTTAATGCTAGCTTATGGTCTGGTTTGGACTTCTAGAGATCATATGCATGCTGTCTGCCTTAGTTAGGGTTTCTATTTCTGTGAAGAGACACCATGAACGTGGCAACTCTTACAAAGGAAAACATTTAATTGTGGTGGTGGCTTTCAGTTCAGAAGCTCAGTCCGTTATCATATGGTGGGGAGCATAGCAGTGTTCAGGCAGACATGGTACTGGCTATATCTTGATCAAAAGGCAACAGGAAGTAGATTGTAACACAGAGAGTATCTTGAGCATAGGAGACCTCAATGCCCACCCCCACTGTGACACATTTCCTCCAACAAGGCCACATGTTACTCCAACAAAGTCATACCTCCTAATAGTGCCACTCCCTTTGGGGGTTATTTTCTTTCAAACAATCACATTCCACTCCCTGACCCCAAAATGCAAACATGCATTCAATCTAACTTCAAAAGTCACCATGGTCTATAACAGTCTCAAACCTGCTTCAAAATCTCTTCTGAGACTCATGGCAATCTCTGTAAAATTAAAATAAAAAAGCAGATCACCTACTTACAACAAATAATGGCACAGCATATACATTACCGTTCTAAAACATAGGGAAGGGAACGCAGTGAGGAAATACTGGACCAAAGCAGGATGGAAAACCAGCAAGGCAAACTCCAAACTCTGTCTCCATATCTGATGTTAAAACGCTCTTCAGATCTCCAACTCTGTTCAGCTTTGTTGACTGCAACTCACTTCTTTCTCTTGGGCTGTTAGCAGCTCTCCTTGGCAGGTATCCCACGACTCTGGCATCTCTAACAGCTTGGGGGCTCCAAGGCAATTCAGGCTTTAACTTCACAACTTCATGAAATGACCTCACTAGGCTTCCATTAAGGGACACCCCTGACACATACCTAGCCTCAGCAGCTTTCCTCAGGTGCCAAGGCAAATTCCATACTTTTGTCTAAAGCCAGAGCCAAATGGTCGAAGCTGCCAAGTTCTCCTGCTTTCTAGGGCTGGAACATGGACCCCTTGTTCGACTGCATCTTCACCAGCTTTCTGTTCTTCACTGCCTAGGTTTGGCTGTCATGAAACTGGATCTTTAGACGAGGCTGGCCTCAAACTCAAAGATCCACCATACCTGGCATGCCCTACCACAGCCAGCACTAAGCTTTTCTTTAGTTACTTTTCAGAAGTTGGAAATTTAGCTGAGTGGATCTTGCCCTAAGTTCACTCCCTTTATTCTATTTCTTAATCTGTTTATCCCCTTGAACACAGGATTTAGCTCTATTCAACTTCCTGGTACCCATTTTCTCAATCTGTACAATTTGTATTTTTATTTGCTCAGCTTACTCCTTTTCATTCTAAATCTTCACTAGAGTTACCACTAATAACCACACAACAGGGTCTATACTAGGTTGTTTTGAGATTTCCTCTGCCAATGCCATTAATCCAAAACTTTTCACTTTAACCTCAGGCAGGCCTTTCACAGAAATACCCCAGTCTCTGGTACCAACTTCTGGGTGGTGCAGGCAGACATGGTGCTGGCTACATCTTGATAGAAGGCAACATGAAGTGTACTGTGACGCTGGGAGTAGCTTGAGCAAAGGATATCTCAAAGCCCACCCCCACAGTGACACACTTCCTCCAACAATGCCATACTTATTCCAACAAAGCCACACCTCCTAATAGTGTCACTCCCTTTGGGGGGAGCATTTTCTTTCAAAACACTACACTATCACAATCATTTTCTAAGTGTTTGATCAAGCCTACTAGGGTTTTGACTGATGAGACTTTGCCCACCCCTAAAAGCATCAGCCTCAGGTGCCAGAACTAGGCACAGCACTGCCACCAGAGGGCCCCATCCCTCTCTATTATTTTCAGGTACTTTGTGACTAGGCATATGAAACTGCTGCAACTAAACTTTCAGAGCAACATTAGACCATGTGTTTACTGCAGGATGTCTCTGAGACCTCCACAGTCAGAAGAGTGAAGATCTGTGGGAGGCAAGAAGTCAGTTCCATTCAACACAACTTCAGGAGTCTGACCCCAAGTGGTTTATTTTAGGCACATTTAAGCACAGCACAATTTGGTGAAATTTTTCCTGTTAATAATTAACTCAATTCTGTGTGCACAATAAAACACATGTAAGACTCTTTGGGGGAACAAAGTAAGCAAAAATAGAGATTGAACATGCTGATGTGGGAAGTCCTGTGATATGTCAATAAAGCACTGTTGGGCCAATAGGAATCTAGATAGGTGAGACTAGGAGTCCAGGAGAACTCTGGGAAGGAGAAACACAGAGAGTCAAGATGTAACGCCATGGGGTAGGAAGCCTGGAACTATTCTCCGGTAAGAGAAATACTTAGATTAACAATTATGGGGTAATTACTTAAGTCAGAGCTAGCCAGTAAGAAACAAGCAAGGCCAACAGCTTCATAATTAATAAAGCCTCCTGTGTGTTTATTTGGGACTGATGCGGCTCTAAAACCAGGCTGGCGGGAAGGCTTCTCTCAAGAAAAAGGCTTCCCTTTACAAACATGCCATCTTCCATAAGACAGGTCCTATAGAGTGACTAAGACAAATAAGTCTATGAAAAGGGTCTGGGGAAGAGTCCAGTGTGGTCTCCTGCCACACCAGGCTAGAGTGTACACCCCTCCCCAGCCTTGTGGGTAGATAACAGATATAGCATTGCTTCCCTTTAAGGAACAACCCTGTATGCCAGCATTATAGGTTCCTCTAATGTTTAAATGTGAGCACAAGGACGTCCATGCCTCCTACACGTTTAAAGAGAAAATGGTGGATATAGTAGAGGCTAAGGTCATATACATTACTTGCATGGCTATTCTAACTAGTACAGGAGAGCATAACAGAATTATAAGACTAACTAGCAGAGGACAAGGGAAAGAGGAGAGTCATCTT